CTGAGTGATGCTTCTCAGGCCTCTGCGATCGTAACACATACACCAGACATGCTGCTGCTGACCCGAACAGAAAATCTGGGCTGTAAACTTAACACGGGCAGGATTCGAGGCCTCTCTCCACCGCTCTTCAGAGTGAAGATGCCGCGTGCTGCCAAGCACCCCAGACCCTGCACAGCAGGGAAGGCTGCTGAGTTAAAAGCATGTAACTCATGGTCTGAAGTCCTTAGGCTGGAGGGCAGTTTAAAAAGAAAAAAAAAAAAAAGAAGAGATAACAGCAGTTAACACACAAACATGGAAAACAGAGCAAAATTTGAGATCACACAGGTTTGTTCTGTACTTACACAAACATTAACAGACCCTGAAGCGAGCTTGACACACAAATACCAGCTTAGGTTCAACTCACCTTGTTCAGTCACATGTTAGACAGGGTACAAATGTTTTCATTGAGACTGTAATCAGTCTGTAGATCTTTTGAAAACAGACTGTAAACCTTCCGAAAAGGCTGGTGTGCAAACTCCACGAGGTGCTGTTCGGCCATCCCTCACCAGAGCCTACCCAGAGTTGTTTAAACACTACATTGAGCAGGCTGGGCCAATACAAATATCATAAACTGTAATTAGCCACCACGACCTAGTCTGAGCACAACAAAAGAAAAGAAAAACTGACCTGCTCAGTATTTCATCACCCTGGACATGCAGAAAATTTACTTAAATCTCTCAGTCTACAGTTTGCAATATGATACAGAACTACAGGAAAACAAGGCATCAAAATGTTCCTGGGACGTTAAGATCAAGACTGGCTCTTTCCAACTCCGCCTTTATTTAGCTTTCCTTCTTGGGAAAACCTCTAGCAGATGTCTCCCTTTGCATAGCATGGGGATTGCTGGCCATGACTTGGCTTCCAGAACTCTACTTGCTCTTTCTCACTCCCACTCCTGTTCTCATCTTCATCCAGCAAGGAACACTGCAACAGCTTTACAAAGTTTGAGGAACAGGCTGAAAGGAATTTGAAGAGTGATGTTTTTGCCCATGCTCATTGACATTCCTCCTTTCAGACCACTTTTGTGCATTATTGTTTGTAAAAGGGATCCATTACACAGCTCTCCCAGCCCTATTTGCTTGGGAAGCTGGTTTCATAATTATGATGTGAGGAGGAAATAGTTCAGTGTAGACATGAACTCATTTGGATCGGTGCCCTCAGCAAACACAACTACAGTGGAAATCTTACGCGTACGAGGTGTAATAAGCTGGAAGGGAAAGGAGGGCAAATTTCAGGGAGTAAACTTCTTACTGTAAGCTCGATCAGCACAACAGCAGCACTGATGGGCGGAAACGAACTCCGTAACTCCCGGAGAGCTATAAAGCAGGTATGTGTATCGCAGCGCTGGGTGCAAGGGGGATCTCTCCTCCACAAACTTGCACACCGTATGGCAAAACAAGCCGATTTATGATGACCAGATGGTCGTTCCTCATGGACAACAGGGTTCTCATTATCTTTATGGCTCTAGATGGCTACTTACCTGCTCCTTCTCAGGTCAAGCTGCCCTAATGTCATCATTCGGGAGCCTCTTACCTACATTGGTATTTTGCTAAACTATTTGCTGTGCTGTGACGCCCGACAGTGTTATTTCCATATCGGCACCAGGTAAGAGCCAGATTGCTCATTACCGCATCGCAAAGCCCGGAATTAAGAACTACCTGCACGTGGATCCTCGTTGAACTGCATACTTAACGCAGAAATTTTACTAAATTCTAGTCTGCATCTTTCTTGCGTTCTCCAGCCAAAACTTTTCTGGCTTTCAGTGCTTCCAACACTGAAAAGCAGAAAGGATTGTCAGGAATTCTCTTATCACCAGCCTTGTCAAGTGCTACATGTCACTCAAGCCTACATAACAAAATAAAAGTGGGTAGGGGGGAAGAGATCCAAGAGTGAGCGCATACAGTCCAAGTACCTGATTGGCAGAAAGTTTTCACTTAGAAAAGGGACTCCATCCTCTGGAAGATAAACATTATAATTTGTGCATTAATTATAGCTCATTTACCTTTCTTATCCAGAGGCCTGTATTTCCTCCACCAACTGGATTTAGGAGCAAAGGCTTGTGCCTTTACACAAACAAGCTAATGGATTTAATGGCTCACCCTGATGCAGCGTCATTTAATCACAGCAGCACTTCATTTTCCCTACTCGATTCAGGGAAGGAAAAAAAAAATATCCCATCCACATTCAGCCATCTCATCTAAACACCTCTTATTTCAGTTTTCAAACTCCATTATTCCCATTATTCTCATTGTAGTCAATTTTTCTCATGCTTTCATCTTAGGTATTTCTTCCCTTAAGTTTAAGGAAAAAAAAAACCACCATCTTTCGCTCTCCATTTTTCTCAGATCACTTTTCACAAAGCAACTCCAAACAAGTCATTCATATATTTATTTATTTTGTAGTAGTTGCCAGGTTTTGCTCACTGTTTCCTCAATTCTAAATTTAATTTCTAGGAAAACAGTACATATTTAAAAAAAAAATATTCCAAATTTAATTATGTTACTTTCACTTTTCACTTAAAGTACCCAGTAATCAAGTAATGCTCCAAAAACCAGGAACTGGCAACCAAAAAAACCAACCAAAACCAAACCACAACCAACCAAATCCAGACACAACAACCTAATAACTGTATCTGCTTTTTATTTAAAGACTTTTCATCTTCCATTTCCCAACTGTCCCCAAATCCCATTCCCACCACACAGTTTCTTTTGGTTGCATTCCATTTCCTTATCTCTGCTCCTATTACTTCACTTACTCTTGACTCCACACACTCCCAATTCTGTGTCAAGACTGTTCTTTCTCCATGGGAGGGGACCGGGGACCCAATCCTACAGTACAGTCACTGCTGCTCCTCCACACCCAGAGCAAACAAAACTAGTCCGTCCAATTTCTTCTCCAGTACCTTTTACCTACTTAGCCCACTGGGGCTGCCCTCCCAGTCTTCTCCTCTCCCCTCTTTCTCTTCTCTTGTCACTTCAGAAGACAAATAGATACTTTCTCACAGCATTTCTCCTTGGTAAGTACCACTTTACTCTCAGCCGTGTCCTACACAAGATGCTTGTTTTCAATCTCATGGTTACAGGAACGGTATAAAGTAAAACAATTAATGGTGGCACTCCACCAATCCACCCATTTCACTAACAGGTTCCTATCACATGTGCACTCCACCCCATCTTACTCATAAGATTTAATTCTTGGGCTCTTTTCCGATCCCTTTATTTCTGCAACCTGCTCGTTTGTGTTTGATCCTTCCCTGGAACTTAGCGCTACATTTAGTGCTCAGCAGTCTCTGCTCACCTGCAGCACCCTCCCCTTCCTCTCTCTCTCTCTCTAGTTCAGGAAGACTCAACATTGCATTCCTCCTCATCAGCATAACTTCTTTTCTTTCACTCAGCCCAAACTGTTGACAAGAACCCCACTAATATTTAGAAAGGAACAGGATGCTTAGCATGGCTAGGAAGAATACAGTAGGAACTAACACATGTGCAGTCAAACCTGCAGCGCTTTCAGAAAGGCAGAACTTCTCATAAGGAATGACAAGGCACAGAGGCCAAACCTCACAGCACAATACCAGAGCACAGTCTGTCTTAGCCTGTCTTTATCTATCCTGGGGGTTGACAGTGAACAGAAAGGTGGAAGATCCAAAGACCTCACCTTCCACCAAACAAAAAAAAAGCACCAAATCTGTTCTTCAAGGTAAACAAAGGAACAAGAAAGCAGGTGAAGAAGCCAAGAGCTGTAGCTGCCAAGTTACTTCAAACAAAAACTCAAGTGCCAGCCATTCAATCCATTCCTTGACTCCTTTCGATTGTACAAGCAGCGTTATTGTTCAGGTAATTATTTCTGTACGTACTGTTTTACCTAGGGCACTCCATGTTCCCTTGCTTTTGCCAGAGTTGCCCACCTATTACTGCATCTAGCGAAGCCATGTACAATTGCAACAACATCTTCTTGATAGTCTACTACATAAGCACTAGAGAAAGCTGCCGAATCAAGCCTTTTGCTCCTGAACTTCTGAAACGCGTTGCTGTTGAAAGCCATGGCAGTAGAGTGCACAGCGCCATGGCAGTAGAGTGCACAGCGCTGTAAGTCAACATTATGTCTCAAATGAAGCATTACAAGAAATACTTAAATCACATTTTATTTTTCAAATTCAAAAATAACAATTAGCTTTATTTAACGTTACACATCTCACAGATTTAAAATATCATGCTCTATTTAAATATCTGAGTGACAACACTATACAAATAAAATGTTACACAAAATATATTTAAGAAAATGTTTTGGTCTTCAATCTGAACAATAAATAGACAGGCACTTCTACATATACAAAGGAAGCAACCACTATTTAGAATAACTCTTATAAGCAAGATGTGGAAATACAGAATAAAATACAGAAGAAAAAAAATCTGAGTTTTGAGAACAGGTTTAACTCTACATGAGACATCATGCAACTTCAAAGTTTGTTTCAAAATTCCAAACTCTTAGGATCTGCACAATTCTAGATTTGCTACTGCTTTATAGGAGATCCAAACCATGCTCTCGTAAGCAACGTACAATTTCAGTTATTTGCATCAAATCAAGCTACCTGATCACATTTAGTGCCAAAACAGAAAACAAGGACCAACCAGAGTCGCTTCTCACATAACATAAGCAACAAGTCTGCTTTACCTCACGTAAGCCTGGGGCAGAGGGCAGACCTCACTGTACCTACTGCCTGGCCCCGAACAAAACCTGTTCTTCCTTTTCCTTCTATATTCAGCTCTTTTGTGGCGTGTTTCAAACAGTATTATGCTTTTTTGTAAAAAAAGCATCATCTAATAAAAAGGTAAATCCTTCAGACACAGGCACACTTTGCACAAAAGATCATAAGTAAAGGAGAAAATACTGTTCCAGGGTGCAAAAAGACTGAAAAAAATAAATTAAAAAAAAATCAATAGTTAAAGCTTATAGCGTGTTTCATACTTGAAGTAAAACTACATTCCTCCGATTTGTGAATTTTCAGTTTACAGTGGTTTCCACACACCCCCACACAAACACTAGTCAAGGAAAAATTATCTTCCACCGTTACAATTACTGAAAGATGCACTGTAGTAGGCAATCTCTGTTTCCAATGCAGCTAACCAGTCACTGACAGCTAGTTACACCCTTGAAGTCCTTTTTAAAACTAATTTACGACAAAGATTGAAACATAATGACCGCCAGGACAGTGGAAAAGTCAGGACCAAGTCTTCAAGCCATTCCCTCGAATTTTAGTATTATTCGCATTTTCAAAAGTACAGGAAAAAGTTTCCAGAGAAAATGAAACTATTAAACAGAGCTTCAATGGTCCACCAAGAAAGTCAGACCCAAACTTGGAAAGTTATTTGCACTTAAGACACTTACGCATATTACTTTAACAATTTAAGTGAGGATCTTGCAAGTGTGTCCAAATCTTAATCATTTCTTGAGGTTTTCTACTATGTACTAACATTAAGTTTGTGTAGGAACATATGTTATGTCTGTATTTCTCTTCAATATCAAATGTTTTGAAGCCTTTGTGTTTTTCCGGAGCAAGCCCAAGCTTCTGAAGGCACATTCCAGTATAAACATCATCAATAGGGTAAAGGAGTACCTGGTCAGATGCATTATTCAGTCTTAATGCCAGATCACCAGAGTACAGAAACCCACCGCCTCCTGCATATGGAGGATACGAACCTTCATAAACACTTTCTGGGATGTAGTACTTCAATGTTTTTTCTCTATGAGGTCCAGCATCTTTGATCACATCACCTACAAACAGGTCTTTGGCTTTGTCCTTTGATAAGCTCTTCAAGTAATCCAGGATCTGATGGGTATTCACAAAAACATCATCATCACCCTTAAAAATAAACTGGACATCTGCACAACTGCTGCTGACCCACTTAAGAAACAGCACCTCTTTCAGAGTCAAATTGAAGAAAGTGTCTCTGTAGTTCCAGAGGAGAATGTCTTGATGGGTTTCACTCTCGAATTTTATCATGTCTGAAAGATCAGGAAAATTATCCTCTGGTGGGGTCTGTCCAAGTAAGAAGACCCTTTTGACTGTCACATCCCCTGATTTTATTTCCTTGCCCCAGGACTCCCTAATCGCTTGCCTTCTATCAAAATGGGGTGTAAGTGACTTAATAGCCAGCAGCAGAAACGGCTTGTGTTTGCACTTGTTTGGCTGATCCATTAATAAGGAGTAATTTCTACATCTCAGATAAAGCAGAAAGTCTTTGAATCTGTCTGGCAAGTTTGCAAAGTCACTAACCTCTGACGGTACCCACGGGTCAGGGTCACAGGAACTGAGAACACTCGAGTTCAAAATTAAGTTCTCTTCCACAGTCATATTGGAAAGCAAGGTCAGAATAGGGTTGTACAGCAGCTCCAGCTTCTGTTGCTGTTTGTTCCAGTAAGCTTTGTGAGGAGTGTATTTTCTCCAGAACTTGCTGCGTGGTATAATAACACGGCCTTTTGCATTCTTCTCTTGGTTGCCACTTTTTGAGACTTCCACAATCACATAAATAAAAATGTTTACCATCATCAGAATTCCCAGCAGCTTTAATCTTCTGCGTCCAACACTCATTTCTCATATCTGGGGGGAAAAAAAAAAAAAAAAAAGATTTTTAGCCTCCTTCCTATCAAGTGCTTGATCTCAAAAATGCAAACAACTTTCAGACAAATAACATGCAAGTCAGTAGCCCAAAAACAGAGGTTACCTACACCGCAAAAAAAATAAAACCAGAAACTAATCTACCTCTAATACATGCACACCTACAGCTAGTAGGGGTCTGGGGTTTCATCAGCAAACAAGAAGCTAGTAAGAATGTAAAATTTCCATTTGCTACTTCGGAATTTCACATAGCATTTCACAGTGTGTCTAAACTAGCCAGCAGTTTTTCCTCCTCATTTAAGCCTCCTTGAAACACTGGACTGTTTAGAATCTGAGCCCTCAGCTTGGCAAAGGCAGGCAGAGAAACTTTTCTTTCTGCTAGTAAGGTGAGCTTAAGGGTATAGACTAAATTGCTATACAATAAGGTCAGTTATTTTTAAATTAAGTTTCAAGCTTTTAGACTTGCACTCTTATACCTTCCCTCTACATGACAGGCAGAGCTGAATTTTAAAGCATACAATTTGTTTCTGTCCATTTCACTCGGCTGTTCCTTGGGAGAGAGGCTGACAAAACTGGCCAGCTGCATTGCTGGTATTCAGATCTCTGCAGACAGAAGAGAACATGAATTTTGATTTTTATTTTTTTTTTCTCCAACTAGAAAAGGAAATGAATAGCGGCTGAAAGCGAAGGTGTAATTATTCCTAGGAAGGAAAAGGAAACTGAAGAGAAATCAAAAAAGAAGAGGTTTCCCATACATGTAAGACCAGAAATAGTAAAAGTGTACCTCCCTCTGTTGCGGCAAAGGTTATTCTGTGACCCATCTCCAGTTTTTACTGAGAGAGAAAATGAATCAATCTCTTTCTTCCTCAGCTATCAGAATGAAAGGTGCACAGTACAAGAAGCAATGTGACAACAGTGCGCTCCTATAAAGCGGTGCTTATCAATCTGTTTATTAGCCCAGAGAGATATCAATGTGCAAGCTAAACAAAATTTAACAAGCCATTATAAATCAGCAAGTCAGACTAGGAAATAATTCAGAATTAACAAGAAAGTTAGTAAGACCACATTTTAGATACAGAACTTATTGTCAAAGACGTTTTCATTTGCCAGGAGCATCAGTGATTACTGGAAGACCAGAAAAACCTAATGGAATGAAATATTCGTAAGCACCATTAAAAGCCCAGCTGTAAACTCGGCCTCAGAGGTCCTGAAGCCACAGAGCAACAGCAGTCGGGAAGGCAGACTTGACAAGTACACCTTGTATTTGCTCTTCTTTTCATTTTATTTCCAGCCACCACCAGACACCTGAGCTAGACTGACCCTCGGTCCCTTCTGGTCTGACCAGTCTCACTTTCTCTTACTCCTCAGAAAGTTAAAAACAAAACTTAGTAAGAAAGCAGCAGGTAAATAATTTTTAACTTTTTTTTTCCCTCATTTGACCTTTTTATCCCTAGATTCTCAATAAATCCAAAGAGGGGGAGTATTTTTGAATTTAAATACAAAGCCACTCCTAGAAACAATGGACTACTCAGAAAAAAATCCCTAGTCTTCCTTAATTTGCCTTCATGTGCCATCTGCGTATTTACCTTTGTATACACTCAGGCCAGATCTACTGTATTTAATGTCCTGTTCTCAGCCAGCTATGAAGTTCGCTGTTCCAATTCCAAAGTAGTTTTCTTCTATACCCCAAAGACAAAGGTGGTCAATGCCATCATTTAAGCTACACAGCTAAACTGTTACAAAGTACTGGCTGGCCACACAGAGTTCAAGGAAACTTTATCCTCCTCTTTCAACTGCCACAGCACCTTCCATTAAAAACAGATCATTATATACTATTTTTCTCCGCTTCTCTTTCAGCACACACAAAAATACTGGAGAAGCAGCTGTCCTCGTGTTTCATACTATTCCATGCAGTTCAGCATGCACAGCAGTGCTTATCTACCTTGTCCTCTAACATTTCTCACTGGAACAACAAATGACGTGGTATTTCACCTATGATCCTAGAACTAGACTACACAACAGGGTGAGATCCTCAAGAGCTCTGCAGGAGCCTGATTTTCCAGGATATGTAGCACCACACAGCTCATCTGCTCACAGGCCCCAGCTAGTAAGCTATGAGTATGCAACGCCTCTGTAAGTCACCTGGATGCTTGACCCGAGACTGTTCAGAACACAATGAGACACCAGTCGCAGAGACTGTATTTCAGTCACTGAACAAAATCCTTCAAATCGCTAAGTCTTTGGGTAAACATTCCAATTCTGTAACTATAAGATCTTCCTTAATCTTCTTGCTTTTCACTTGTTGCATTGCAATCCCCTGCGCCAAATGAGACAGGGACCCTACACAGAAAAACCTCCATTTACTGTTAGACTTGGTAGAACCTTTCATCAGAAGAAATATGAGTCTGGCAAGATGACAGTGGTTCCATCACATAAAGCACGGTAAATGCCATCAGTCCCAGATATAAATACTTGTAGTATGATATTCAGTCTCCTTTTTACAAAGTAATCCAATATTGGCAATAAAATTAATATTTCTGAGAAAATATGGGTAACAAGTCACACTCATCATCTACACAACATGAGCACTCCTCCACAATGTTGCATAAAAGTTTTCTGCTTTTCTGTAATCAAAAGCTATCTATATGTGTTTTTTATCAATTTGTTAAGAACATAACTCATTAAGAATATCGAACCAATACTAAGGGCTATCAAGTGAAAAAGGGATAAAAACTGCTTTGTTAGAAAAGTGTCCTTTTCCTAAACTAAACAAAAGACAGGCTGTAATAAACACTTATTCACAGATCAAGGTTCCTGAACTAAAAGCAAACAGAAAACAATCAGACTTCAGAAAGGCTATTTCTATAAATTAAAATAGAATCCTCGATCTTGCAATTAATATGCATTAGCTTTAACAATTACACTTGAAGACAGAAGGAATTAATAAAAGGATGCCAGTTTGGCAATTTCACATCAAGTGAACTGGATTTATCACAAAACACAGTACTACAACCTTCATCACAATGGTGGTGGTAGGGGGGTGTTGCATTTGTAACGTTGTTGGTAGTGGAGGGGTTGAGTTTTTTCTAGTATTTTGAGTTAGCTGTTTGGGTTTTTTTTAGAGTAAAAGCCCACAGCCCATGTCTGAAGGCAAACCTTCTTTCTTTATCTGCTTTGCTGACACTGCAGTGATTGACTAAAGTGCCAGCACGATGGAGATTTTACGTGCTGGGCAGCTTGCTAAGGAGCACAAGACAGCGCCCGTTTCCTACTTACAGCTTTGCGACAGCAATCTGGACAGATCACAAGAACTTTCTCCTATTCCAGTAAAGGCTTCTTCTATCAGCATTAATATTACAAAAATTCCCAGCTGCCTCCTTTGACTGCTGAGAATGGAATATCTGTTAGGGAAGCCAAAACCAAAGTGATCTGGTTCATACTTAAACCTACCTGATGTGTTTTTACGCTAGTTTTGTTGAAGAACCGAGACGAGCAGTCCAAACCAATACCCTATTTGAAAAATTCCTGCTGCTTTAGGTGTCAAAAAAGAAAAGGTTAGAACACATACCTCACTAGCATGAAAACCAGAACAAAATAGTAAACGCTATATATTGGGAAAGTAAATCACAGCATACACAGAACCTCAGGAACAGAAGATCCTGCAGAAATGCATTCCAACTTCAGCAGGTAAGACGAAGTCACCTACACTCGAAGGTGATCTCATGCAGTTTTACAGTGCCTGTTTTCAACTTCTCAGCTACACTGACATAAAGATCGTTTCAGCAATCAATTCAAGTCTGTGTAAATCATCACATTTCTGCTTATGCAACTTCCAGCTGTGCAGTTATGCATCAGTATCACTGCATACATAAAGTCCATTTGCTCAATGCATTTAGAAAACATCCATGTTGCTCCAGAAAACAACGGGTTGATGTTAACCATACCATAAACCAAGGTTCTGCTACAGATATAGTACTTGGAGAGACTGATTCTACAGAAGTGGGGGGAGGAAGAGTTGCCCTCTTCAGCTCCACTCCAGTCTTACACCACACTGCAGTTAAAACTAAGGTATTGACAGAAGGGAACAGATTTATGGAGCCACAAAAGCAGCACTGGGATCAAGAGATGGATAGAAAAGGTAAGCCAGTGGAGCCTGGGAAGAAAAACAGCTCCGCTGTGGGATCAGGCAGCAATCAATAAAACGATATGAACCACAACAGAAGAAGAAAACAGTATCACAGAGAAGCCATGAGCTACAAGAAAAGATTCCAAAACACCCAAAAAGCTTTTAATTCAAATAACATTAATGTGAAGTGGTGAGAAACTGTTCACAGGTTGTTTTTAAACAGTATTATTTTATGCTTTATGTCAAGAGTGAATGTATTCCAAATGCCTGCAAGGAACCTATTCATAAGTCTAGAAGAAGACTTGGTATGAAATTAGAATCACAGAATCACTCTCCTGAGCTGGAAAGGACCTATAAGGATCATCAAGTCCAACTCTTGACTCCACACAGGGCAACCTAAAAGTTAAAACATATATTCAATAGCATTCATAGAATCATAGAATGGTTTGGGTTGGAAGGGACCTCAAAGATCATCTAGTTCCAACCCCCCTGCCATGGGCAGGGACACCCTCCACTACACCAGGTTGCCCAAAGCCTCATCCAACCTGGCCTTGAACAATTCCAGGGATGAGGCATCTACAACTTCTCTGGGAAACCTGTTCCAGTGCCTCACCACCCTCTGAGAGAAAAATTTCTTCCTTATATCCAATCTAAATCTGCTCTCTTTCAGTTTAAAGCCATTGCCCCTTGCCCTATCAATACATGCCCTTGTAAAAAGTCCCTCTCCAGCTTTCCTGTAGGCCCCCTTTAAGTACTGGAAGGCTGCAATAAGATCATCCTGGAGCCTTCTCTTCTCCAGGATGAACAGCCCCAACTCTCTCAGCCTGTCTTCATAGGAGAGGTGCTCCAGCCCCTGGATCATCTTCATGGCCCTCCTCTGGACCCACTCCACCAGCTCCATGTCCTTCTTGTGTTGGGGACTCCAGAGCTGA